TTTGTCTAACACCTCATAGCGGGGTCGGTAGCTGGTATGAAAAAACTGTCCTTAATTATATGGAAAGCTCTGACGAATGTTCTGATACCCTATTGGTAAGTTATTTGAGTGTCGTTTCTGATAGCTACTTTTCCCGTAGGGGTTATCAGAGGTCTCTAATGGGATTGCTGTTTTCTTTCGCTTATTCCTTTTTGCGTCTGCCAAGGTCTTCGCTTTTTCTATTACAGATTCCTTTCCTTTTAGCAGCTTATCCTGCGTGCTTGGCAAGGCCGCCGCAACATCCCATCCAAATCCCTCCGCAACATGTAGGGTAAACATCCTATCTGCAGCTATTTCTTTAGCGTTGGAGATGTGACTTGTAATTTCTGTAACGGCTTTTGATTCCAATGCCGAGTCTAGTTCCTTCCCCATCGAACATAATGTGTCATATTCATGTTGGTCGCGTGATCTTTCAAATTTATAATTCGGCCATGCTTCGTTATTATCAGCCCTTTGTACTTGAGCAGCTATTTCGTTTAGTTTATTATCAAATCCTGTCATAATGTTCCTCATACTCTTCAGTTCCGATACCAATAGATATTCGAAGGAATCCACATGATCCTCATCGGTGTCTTCAGGTAATTGCCGTTTATTTTTCCCTTTTGATTGTGTAGCCTTTTGGTTACTTGTTCTTTGCATTTGATCCGGTTCCATAATCAATGGTTCTGTTATATCATTAATTCTGGATTTCAAGGCCCTTTCTCTTAAGGTCCGAATCGAGGTACTTCCATTCTCAAATCCTGGGTCGGTTACATATCTATCCGTTTCATCTATATTCATGCTTTCATCATTGTCCATATACCCCTCATCGACCAGATCGTTTGACAAATCTACAGATACAGGCTTTGATGTCGATCTTGCTGAATGGATTTTCAATCTTTGTACTAGGTCCGCTTTATTTCCTTTAGTTGGAAGACCAAGGTTTCGACAAATGTCTTCCAAATCGGTTTTTGACAGATTAGAATCTACCATAACGTACACGTGACTTCCTATGTTATATGGTTATATATATGTTTCTCTCTTTTTTTTTTTTTTTTTTTACTATTTTTTATGGTAATAGTTTGCTGTATATCATTTTTGCTGTATATCGTTCTTGTTGTCTATCATTCTTTTCTCTTCTTTTCTTTTCTTTTCTTTTTTTTTTTTTTTTTGGTGGTCTGTTTATTTATTCAAAGATTACGTAAATAATGATACATTCCTGCAGAAAAGTATTCGCCCTACCTTAAATTATCTGAGTTAATCATAAAATCATGAATAAAATCATGAACTTTAATTACAATTATAAAATTTATATTTTTCAGTAAAAAATAATAAAATTGTCAAAGTCAATAAAAGGCATGTAGCCCTACTTGTAATGAAATTTGATGCATTTATCTTGAACGTTAAATATGGATTTTAATAAAATTTTGCTTTGTTTTTTTGCTTCATTTCTTACTATCAGACCATCAATTTATCAAATCTTATTGGTATATTATTAGATATGGAGAAGATATAACTAGATGCCATGAAAGAATGTCCAAATCTAGGGATGTTTGGTAAGAAGATATAACTAGTGCCATGAAAGAATGTCCAAATCTAGGGATGTTTGGTCCAGGTCTGGTCTGGTCTATTATGGTCTTAATTCTTAAGACTTTGTTAGTCCAGACCAGTCCAGACTGGTCCAGTCTTAATGCTTAGAGCAGACCAATTTTTTTCGAGTTCAAACTGGTCTTAAGACTAACTGTGGTTCATCAGTCTAATACCAGACCACAGACCACATAACATCCCTATCCAAATCTTATCTATACTAATATTTGGACAATGTCTATCTTGAAATGTTTGTCCATTTTCATATTTGTCATTAACAGTGCTTTCTTATTGAAATTTTGTCATATTAATAAGGAAGTTTCGTATCACATATACGTATCAAGTTTATTGAGGTTGCACTGCTCACTTATGAAGTAGTTTTATAACGAAGTGCTGCGTAAATATAGTAAGCATTAAGCTATTATGATATAACATATAAAATACATTGTACGATATACAAATTTGTGGAATTCAATAAAGACTTTAGAAATTTCCGCGTCTTTGCCATACGGCCTAGACGTTAGATAAAATTTCAAAGTTTTCTTTTTGCATCATTTTTATATACTTTTGACACAATTCTGGTAACTCAAAGCCATAAAAAAACTTTATAAATACAAGTTTAACAAAAAAATTTTGGATAGTTGTATCAGAACTACAAAAGCACTAGATGCTGCTGTAGTGCATACAAACGTACAATGCAATAATCAAAATGTTTTTGTATAATATTGACAATGTGACAAATTAGTACAAAAATATACGTAAAACATCAAATCGAAATATAATGAGTCAAACAAATACCAAACAACTGATATCTTAAAATTAATTAACGTCCGTAAAAATACCAATTCAAACCTTTTTCAAATGTAATTACTCGAGCGTTTCTTGAAATCAAATACAAGCACAATGCAATAATTAAAGTTGAAGACCAAAATTTTAAGTTACCATATTTACATATGTTTTTGCTATAATAACAAATAAAATTAATTTAAATAGCCTAGCTAAAAAGTTTAAGAAAAATGGCTTCAGGATCAAATTAGTCTTGCTTTAAACGTTCACGAAGTATATAATTGCTAAAATAATAATAGTTTTAAAACGTTAAAATTAGAAATTATTTAAAACAATCAAGTAAATTTTCTAAAGAAATATTTGTAAATTTTCTCTACACAAAAATTTACTATACAAGTTCCTTCAAAAATGCAGTTATTCGAACACACAAATAATGATTTTATTAGGTGATTGACGCAATAGACTTGTGTAATTTTGCAGGAAACTAAGGAGAAATTGATGAGTAACGAAATGTTTAAGATAGAAAGGCTTTACAGGAAAAAGGGAAAATTGGAATTATTAAAAGCCTAGAAATGTTAACTTAGTTTTAAACGAAGATCTGTAATAAACATAAACCAATTTGTTGAAAGGTGTTACAATGCGTACGTAATAGTCGCACCGAAAGAAATAAATGAACGTTACGCAATGCAATACGTACGTACATACATATATTAAATACGTAAATTTGTAACATATTCTTTCTTTGCGTAAACATGTCAATTGCAAAACGACCAGAAAAAATCGAAAATCCATTAGATATTGCTAAAATATCAAACAAAGTCAACCAATTATATTTAGAAGATAAATCACAGAATTTTCTTAATGAAATTATTAAAGAAATGTATAATTTGTATAATGAAGAAACTTTGAAAGGCAAAACTTTCAGTTCAAAATTTGACACCTTAGAACAATTTCTAGTAAAAAAAAAGCAAAATCCGGATAATATCATCAAATATTGCTTAGATAATCAATCTGATCATATGATTCAGTTCATTCTTGCATCTTGTTATCGTTGTGGTAGATGGGTTGAAAAGGATTATCATAAGGCATTCGTTTATTATCAAAAATCTGCAGAGATGGGTAACCCTAGGGCAATATATAATGTTGGATATTGTTACCGACATGGAATTGAAGTTGAAAAGGATGAACATAAGGCATTTATTTATTATCAGAAATCTGCAGAGATGGGGGACGTCGTTGGGACCAATCATGTTGGATATTGTTATCGGCATGGAATTGGTGTTGAAATGAATGAAAATAAGGGATTTATTTATTATCAAAAATCTGCAGAGATGGGTTACGCTGCTGGGGCATATAATGTTGGAAATTGTTATCATCATGGAATTGGAGTTTCCAAGGATGAACAAAAGGCCTTTGAATATTATTTAAAAAGTGCTGAATAT